TGCCTTTTTTAGTACTTCTTATTTATACAATAAGATTTCCTTTTTTGTCTAACTACCCCAAGAGCACCACCAAAAATTTTCGGTTACACAAAATCTTGACCAATAGAATTAGCTGCACATGTAGATCGCTACATTAAATTTTAATACTTTTTTGCAACTTCGAACAAAGATATCTCAACAACCACCAAACAAAATTTGATAATTTTTTATTTTGATTAAACAAATATATGAGATTTCAATAAAAAAAATTTCATCAAATTTGGATTGGTGGTAGTCAAGATATCTTCATTTAAAGTTTAGAAAAATTCTATTACGACTTGAATTTTGATATTTTAATTTGTTGATAAACTTTAAACGAAAATATCACGACAACCACCAAACAGAATTTGATGAAATTTTTTATTTTTTATTCTATATACTTATAGAATCAAAATAAAAAAAATTTCATCGAATTTAGTTTGGTCAGTCTCGAGATAACTTCGAAAAAAAATTTACTACAGCTTGAATTTATAGTAATAAACGGGTTAATTTATTGACAAATTTAACCGAAGATAACTTGACAATCATAAAACTAAATTCAATAAAACTTTTTTTATTTTGATTGTGTATACTTGTAGAATCAAAATAAAAAAATCTTATTGAATTTAGTTTGGTGGTTACCAAGATATCTTCAGTTAAAATTTGCTAATAAATTAAACTATTTATTACAGCCGTAGTAAATTTTTTTCGAAGTTATCTCAACACCCACCAAACTAAATTCAACGAAATTTTTTTATTTTAATTCTATAAGTATATAGAATCTAAATAAAAAAATTTGATAGAATTTGGTTTTGTGGTTGGCATGATATCTTTGTTTAAATTTTACTACGCTTGAATTTAATAGACGGTTAATTTATTGACAAACTTTAAACAAAGATATCTCGACAAGCACCAAACTAAATTCAATAAATTTTTTTTGGGTTGATTCTACAAGTATACCAAATCAAAATAAAAAATAATTCATTGAATTTGGTTGTCGAGGTATCTTTGTTTAAGTTTGTCAATAAATCAAACTGTCTATTAAATTCAAGCCGTAGTAAAATTTTTTTAAAATTTAAACAAAAATATCTTGACAATCACAAAAAAAATTTGATATTTTTTTTTAAATTCTACAAGTATATAGAATCAAAATAAAAAAATATTCATCGAATTTGGTTTGGTAGTCTTTAAGATATCTTTGTTTAATGGTCAACAAAATAAACCGTCTATTAATAATAATAGAATTTTTTTTATTTTGATTCTATAAGTATATTAATCAAAATAAAAAAATACTTATCGAATTTGGTTTGGCGGTTGTCGTGATATCTTCGTTTAAAGTTTATTAACAAATTAAACTATTTATTAAAATTCAAGTTGTAATAGAATTTTTCTAAACTTTAAATAAAGATATCTCGGCTACCACCAATCCAAATTTGATGAAATTTTTTTTTATTGTGATCTCATATATTTGTTTAATTAAAATAAAAAATTTTATCAAATTTTGTTTGGTGGTTGTTGAGATATCTTTGTTTGAAGTTGCAAAAAAGTATTAAAATTTAATATAGCGATCTATATGTGTAGCTAATTCTATTGGTCAAGATTTTGTATAACCGAAAATTTTTGGTGGTGCTCTTGGGGTAGTTTTTTTGTCTCGTGCAATACATGATATCATGTGACTTTGTGTAACATAAAATTGGGAAATTCTATTTTTAGATCACGTGATCTTGTGTAACCTAAAAATAACCTCTTTTTTATCCTATCCCTGGAAACCAAATTTTAATACAACTCCTACTTTATTTTAATACCCCCTTTTCGACTTAGAAAATTTTTTCAAAAATCAAATTTATAATACAAATTTTTAAGAAAATTTTATTTTTTTTTACTCAATTAAATTTACTAAAATGCCTACTCCAATTACACAAGACTTCGATACTATAGATCTTGACTACTTTTTTAGCTACCATACTACAAGCTTCAGTATCGCATTCTACGAGGATGCACCAAAAGAAGACAGTATTAAACCAACTCCACCAACCCAAGAGCCCTCATCTTGTGCTCCCAAATCTACTCATACTAACTCTGCTGTACACTTCTTCCATGTTCCAAGATCAACAGCTATTACCCAATGTCTTTGTTGTAGCTACCATACTCAATTTATTTCTAAAAATAATACTATCTACACACTTGCAACTAATCTCTCTCAAGTATCTACTGGAAAAAATTCATATAAAGGAAGCAATCCCAAAACAGAAAATTTTATCAACCAACTTACAAAGTCTCCAGACAGAGTCTCACCCTCTCCCACATACAAATCCTGCCAACATACTTGCTCTAAATGCCTTAAAGTTATCGCTTGCTGTTTCTATAGCAACAAACATCACTCATGTGAACTCTATATTCTAGTAGACAAAGAGGTCTACCATAGCAACTGTATTACTACTCTATTCACTTCTTTTGATACTTCTTTAATCTCAATCACTACCTCTTCACTTGAATCTGCTAGAAAAGACCTAACTCCCACTTTTAAAAGTTTACAAGACACTTCTTCTAACAAAGCCTTTAGTTCATCTATTTCTAATACTACTTCAACAATACCACCCTCATCTGTTCCTCACAAAAACACCAATACTAATACTAGCAAACCTCACCAACCCCCACACACCCAACTATCTCTAGAATCCTCTCTTTTAAGCAAAAAGAAACAAACACATAATCCTCTTTCCTCTACTTTAAAACCACTTACTCCTACCAACAACACACATTCCTCCTCTATCCAAACTATAATCTGTCCTATGGAAATCAATAACGAAATTTCTGCTACTAACAAAGCTAATACCACTTTGGCCAACAAACCCAACAATACTACTTCTGTTACCAACCCCCAAACCACTGCATCTGATATAGAAATCGATAACAATTCTCTTTAAACAACTCAAATGAATATATCCTCAACAACCAAACCTCTTCTCCAAAATCCAAAAGCTAAACCCAATAAACTTACTACTCAAACAATATACTTCACTATTGTACAGCAAAATTAAACCCAAATTAATACTAATATCTCCTCTTCTACTAACAAATCCACTACCAAACAACCTAAACCAACTCCAACTTTTGACTGGCTTGCTCACTTTCCAATAACTACAGAAATGGAATCTAAAAATAAATTCCAAACTTCTTTCTCTCAACAACTCTATGACTTCTTTAAAAAACATCTTCATGACTTCTATCCAGGTATCATTCTCAAAACAGTAACACAAGACAAACAACAACTTAAAGCTAGCTTCTACTATATTATTCGTTGTATGGTAGGAGAAAGACCAGATTTTCTTATTAACTACATCTACCAAATCAATCCTAACATAAGCAAACAAGCAACTATTCTATTTAGTATAGTAGAAGACACTCTTAAAAAAATTATTGCAAAATTCATCTCCATTTTCTTTACTTAACTTAACTATCTAGAAATTTTTGCATCACCTGCAATTATCCCGCCATACAAACCTGAAAATTGTCTACAATTCTGCTTTAAACTAGCATGTCTACATCTTTACCTCCATGATAAATACCAAGCAATTGATTACAATAAATTTGCAGAAACACTTAATCTTCGGCACAAAACATACAAATTTATCTTTCAAGTTGTCAGTACTGACAAAGATAGAAAATATTTAACCATTAAATCAGATGATAAATTCAATATCCAACTACTTCTCAACTTACTAGTCACTCTTTTTCTTAAAAACTTTTCTATTCCTTCACTTCAAAACTCTTTAGACCATTTTAACAAATAGTTTGATGAATTCTTCTCTATCTATAATCATCAATTTAAAGATCTATTAAACAAAGAAGAGACTTGTAACATACTTAAATCCAAAATCCGAAAAGTCTATATTCTCCAACTTAAACAATACCTCTTTTCTATACTTGACACTTTCCAAAAACCCACTTGCTATGAGGACCGCCATGATGAATGCTTTAAGCATCTTAACTTCCACATTCTAACTTGCAAACATGAAACTGTAATCTCATTCAGGAAAACTATAAACATAATACTTCTCAACTTTTCAAGAATTTATTAACCAAATCTTACAAAGAATACCCAAAAGAAATTGACACACCTAACCTGGAAATTGACCCCTCAATCTTTGGACTTGATTCTGGAAATGAAGCCATCTTCTCGAAACCAATTCCAACCAAACTCCTTGATAAACTGGCAGATTTAGCAGAGCAAGATATTTGTACCAAAAATCATACTGTCTCTTCTATTAAATGTCGAAATGGTTTCTTCTATCAATACCTTCAAACATACCAAAAACAAGAAAATTTACAAATTCATCATCTAACCCAAATAGATGCTATTAACAAAATTACTGCTAAAGTAGTTAGTACTGACTACCTAGCAAGAATCATTATCTACTTTGAACAAGCTCATACAAAAATTCTCCTTTTATCTCACATACCTGGTCTAACAATACAAGCTCTAGCAGAATTGACTACATTTGGACAAACTCATTTAACATTTAATTTCTCCTAGCTTACAATCTTAATAATAGTAAAACAAGCACACTCAGTGACCATCTTATATTCTCTACTATCTGACTTTTCCAAATGCATATAGCAAACCACCTCGCTTACATACCAATATCTGTCCCAAATTTTTAACTATAAATCAACATCTCCTGACCACTGGCTCAAGTTTTCTGACTTTGCTACTGAACTTTTTCAACAACACCATATTCCTACCTCTACTAACTCTACCATTAGTATCGATAGCATCTGGCATAAAATCCAGCACTGTATTATACAGGCTGCAATTAAAAAGTTCCCAACAAAGTTACATGCAAATGCAGCTATAACTATAAGTATAGCTCACACTGTACTGTGCTCCATACAGGACTTAAAAAACTCAGCCACCTTATTAAAACAATTCGCTCTAATACTGACCAGTCTGCAATACATTTATTTAGATATTCTATTAATTAATTAATATACAAAGTGCAATATTCAGTTACCCTCAAAATTGAATCCTGCTTATATTCAAGTATGGCTTGAAGAAGCTTATACTGTTTGGAAACAGGTGTACCATAACTACCACTTAGAATATTTACTCCACCTCAGACAACAAATTAACCAAGCTTCAGAAAAAAGATGTGAAACTCTTGTTTTCAGACCCACTCATGCAATCAACAGTATACTCAATCGCTATAAGGCTTCTATTCATTTCTCTAATATTAAGCTCCCAAACCAACTTGTTACAAATCCTACAGATATCAAACAACACATACAACAATACTTTAATAATTGGACCACACACAAGCCTATTAACTATCTACTCTTCAATAACATTTGGCAACAATATTACTCTCCTTTATTTCACATCAACCCAGACTGGTACAACCCCCTTACTACACCTATTACAATTGAAGAGGTCCTCCAAACTACTGCCAAACTCCCTAATAACAAAGCCTGTGGCTCTACAGGCATAAGCTATGAAATGTTTAAGCACATTAGCCATTATTGTATAACTGCATTTGTTGCTCTGCTAAACAGATGCCTCTTTGAAAACTATATTCCAAAACAATGAAAACATAGCCGAATCTATCCTATTCCAAAGAGAAACACATTTGATGGGAATCTTAATTTAACTCACCCTATCAGCCTCATAGAACATGCTAGAAAAATATATATCAAAATCCTTACAAACAGATTAAACAATATCTTCTCTCAACACCCTATTCTCTCTCCTTATAATTATGTTGCTCTTCTAGGCAACAGTACTTCTATTTCTATACACATCCTTAACAACCTTATTGAAAATACAAGCTGTAACCATAAAGAAATCTGGCTCCTGTTCCAGGACATGAGCAAGGCCTATGACTTTGTTAACTCTACTCTTCTGCACCATACTCTTCTATAACTTGCACTTCCTGCTTCAATCATCAATATAATCTCCAACCTTTTCATTAGTCACCATAATGATATTATTACCAACCTTGGCCTTACACTCTCTTACCTCGTGCAAGATGATATTGACTAAGGAGAAACAATCACATCATTACTTTGGTGTATTTACTATGACCCTTTTATCTTCTATATACATTCTACTATACCCAGATATTAAATGCAAAGTTCATGGTTTACCAGTTTAAAAAACTTTTCAACCAACCAAATTAAAACCAGATGCTCTGTCCTTGCTTATATAGATGACACTCTATGGGTTGCATCCTCATACACAGAACTAACCAAAATAATTTCAATTGCAGAATCCTTCAATTCTATAGCTAACATCCAAGTAAACCCAAACAAATCAGTTCTTACCACTAACTCGACCTCTAATTCTCACCATCCAATTACCTTTAATAACTAAACACTTTTACTACAACCATCACACCAACTACTCAAATTCCTTGGGTGTTGGCTCACACTTGATAACAAACAATTTAAACAAATACAACAAATTACAAATGAGTCATCTCAACTCATTCAAACAATTGGTTCTAAAAAAATTACAGATACACAAGCCTGTTATATTATCAACACAGTCATTATACCTACTATTGAATATTGTCTACAGAATATTGTTCTTAGCCAAACAGCCTGTAATAAATCTTCACACATCATATTGGTCTAGTCAAGCACAAAGCCAAACTTAGCTGCACTATACCCACTAGCACTCTACTCCATCTACAAATTTACAATATCAAAAAATCTGGGATATCCAATTGCAATATCATATTTCCAACTTTATCAAATAGCTCAATAATAATCATCTTCTTGGCACTTCTACACTCATCTGTATCCAACAACTACAGAACAATTTGTGGTTTCCCATAAATATCTTCTCTCATCCTAATTCTATAATTGAAGGCCTTAATAAAAACACTACTAATTTTAAAATTATTCAGCTTCTCAAATATATCAATTGGACAATTAGCCCTAACCTTAATACCTCCATTCCTTTCACAATCCAGGAAGGCTCAACTTCACTTGAATCAATTCTTGCCTCTTACCCTCAATATCCTATCTTTAAAAAACTACTTCGACACCATTATCTACTTTTCCTTGATTAGTTTACTACATCTAATGACACATTTCACCAAGACTAAATAAAATTCCAAAAAGCAGAATACCTAGATGGTTTACTAAATTAGAGAACATCTCTACTTCTAGCTTTCCCCAAAGAACTATTCATTCACACTTCAATCTTCCACCTACTAACTACTATAGCTATAGTACTGCCCACTTCTACCAATACACTAAACCTTGGCTAATCTCTTTACTCAACAACCAACTAGTTGTTGGTAAAGCCCAATGCCAATGTACAACAACTGATCACATACTTATTACTCACTGGCAATGCCACAATCTTACCTACTCAACACAACTATATCCACTTGCTCCTATATCTCTTTTACCTTGCACCAACTGTCCACTTGGTAGAATTAATATAGACAAATCACTTAATTTTTATGCCAACTACCAGAACCTTATACACTCAATTCTAAATTCAAATGTTACTTCTATTCCACCACTTCCTACACTTATTATTGAACAATCTCAAATACCAATCTTCTTCACTTTTAGTGAAGCCACTCAGACCCTTCAACTAATAGCTACTTACAATCAAAATACCTCTAATCTCAACTTTTACACTGATGTCTCTGTTACAAACATAGATACCTCCCAATGCTCTATGGGTATTGGCTGGCTACAAATACAAAATCAAACTATACTTTATAACTTTCAAGCCAAAATTAAATTCTGGTCTTGCTTATACAAGGCAGAACTCATAGCAATAGCATCAGCCATCTGCACTACTCCTAGAAACTGCACTATACAAATTTTTACAGACTCCCAATCAGTTATTTCAAAGTTCCACAACCTTTCACATAACATTCATAATACAAATTTTATAAATACTCCATACTGGTCAGTTTGGAACACTCTTTTAAACTTTTCTAAATCCTACAATTTAAATATTATATTTCACAAAGTCAATGCACATAAGGATGATATCTTTAACAATGCAGCTAACCAACTAGCCCAAAACTATCACTATATCTTACTTTCAATACAACTAATATATACAACTCTTTATTTACTTTTAGCTCTAACAATCTCCCAATTGAACTTTCTATATGGCGCAGTATTAAAACAATATGTCATACACATATCTTCGCTAACTGGTCATCTCAAAACTGATTCCAAAAATGGATCCCAATTACATTTCTAATCAACTGGCAAGCAACCTGGCTCTATCTTAATAATAACCAAAAAATAACCAATTTTTCACTTAACTTCTAATCCTCCATATACAAATCTTTCAGAGTCAAATTACTTTTAGATGATTTACCAACACCCAATATTCTTCATAGAAGAAACTCTTCCTATTCTAACAAATATTATATATGTCAACAAGAAAGTAACTCACTTCACTGGATATCTTGTCCATCCTCTGAACCTCTATTCAACCTTATTTGTAGCTCTTTAGAACATATTTTAAGTCATAACAAACTTCAAATCTCACATTTTCAAGTACACAATTTCCACACCTCCATTCTAAATCTCAATAGTTTTCAAGCTCACCAACTTACTCATAAACCTTCTTTAGCTTCTACACTCTCTGGCTTAGTACCAAGTGACATTATCAACACATTAAACGAATATACTACATCTAGCAAAACAGCAATATCCCTCACTATTAAACTCTTTCTTGAAATTAATCATCAAATATATAAAAAATTATTGATTTCCTACTGTATATCAAGATCACAAATTAATTCTACAACTTTATCACCACCTTCTTTTATATATACTCCTAACATATTCAATATCTCTAATCAGCCAAACATTGAATCCAATTTAATTAATCCTTTATACAAAATTGAAACATGGTATATCTACTGGATCAAATATCTAATACACTCATCTTATATTATTACTAACACTCAAATCTAGGTGAGCTTTGGCCACTCTGGTTGGTTTAGGCCAAAGATAAAAAACTAGGTTGTCTATTAGGCATCTTTAGTTAGTCTAAGTTCTTATTCTTAGCATTAGGTTTATATAATAAAATTTTTTCTGATTTTGTAAGAAATTTTAATTAAATTTAATAAAGATAAGAGCAAGGTCTCACTATTAACATTAAAAAAAAAAAAAAAAAAAAAAAAAAAAAAAAAGAAAAGGATCAGCACTCTTAACTTGGCACCAAGTAAAATTTTTCAAAGGAAACAAGGACAAAGAAAAAAGCCCTCATGGTTTAATATTATTGAGTATGTAGTGATCAATAACCAGATAACAAGAGAGGTGTATACAAGATATAAATACAGTAAAGAAAATCAAGTCACTTTATTGCCTTATTTTAGCATATATCCAAAGATAAAAGAAAAGCGAAATGGGTTGTACTGGCAAATGAAATAGTACAACAGATTTGGGCCAGATGGTTAAAAAAAGTAGAAGTAAATGAAAGATAGAAATAACACACTGGAAAAGAAAGAAAGAAAATAAAGACATGTATAACAAATGTCAAGGATGTAGTTTATCTAATATGTAGAAGCCCAATGAATACAAAATAAAGTTGAACCTAAAGAATAAGCAAAGAGCGTTAAAGAAAAACTGCATTAAAAAGCAGAAAGAAAACAAAATTTTGTATGAGGTGCACTAACAAATATTAGCAAAAGAACCAACATACAAACAGATATACTTATCTTACTGCCAAGCCCTATAGTAATGATCAAAAACTTAGAAAAAGATATAATCAACAGATATATAGTGAAGCAAGAGCATAGGGTGAAAACCCAAAAATCACTGCAGAAACTGGCTAGTTATGCAGAATTAACCATTTTCACAGATGGCTCTTTAGATAAAGATAGTAAAAGCAGAGAGCTAAGAAAAATGAGTATAGGCTAGGTTGCAGTCAAAAAGAATACAGAAGCAGTATTAGAGCAGTTCTCAAATGCAATAAAAGATTGGCCTTCTTCAACGAGAACAGAAATAAATGCTATAGGGCTCGCATTATTAGTTGTACTAAACAAATGTAGTGTAAGAGTTTTATAAATGGTGCAAATGCAATTAGTATTATTGAAAAGGTTAGAGCTAGCCCAAATAATA